CGTGGACATTTTCTTCTGGAGTTGATGTCAGTTTCTTGGAATGTAGTCCCCCTTTCTGGGCAATAAACATACCCCAGTGCTGAGGTTGTGTATGCTGTTTCAGTTCATTCAGAGCTTATATCAGGTGAGATTGGAGTGCTGTAGAAAATAGTATGACTTTTAACTTTTAGGCTCCCTCTCTGTAATGATAGACATGACAGACAAAGCACCTCTGAGGTTAGTACACAGAAGACGCTCAATCTTATATAAGAAAAGCCTAATATGCAAAATGTTCCCTCAGGTTGCATTCGAACAGGAGTTGAACTAGGAGACCGGAAGTTTGATCACTTGCTATGACATGTGCTGACCACTGGGGGGCGGCGCAGAATGAAGGAAGGCCCCGGTCAGCAGCTGGAAGGCACCAATCAGCCCTCATCACGCACCAGGCCTAGGGACCCTACCCATGCATGAATTTCGTGCACTGGGCCTCTAGTGACATATAATAAAAAATAGATATTTGGTCTTCATCCTGTTTCTGGCAAAGATCTCCCAAAACTATTGGAATTTCCTAAGTGATAAAAGCTTAAAGATGTTTCTTATGTTAATAAATTGACTTTTGAAAAGCACCTAAGGACGGGGACTGGGTTTCAGTGGAGCTAATTGGTGCTTAGAAGGTTGGAACTTACAGCCTTGGGGTTGGAGAGAGAAGATGAAGATTGAGTTCAACCACCTGTGGCCAATGATTTACTCAATCATGCCTATGTAATGGAGCCTCCATAAAAACCCAAAAGGACTGTTTGTAGAACTTCCAGGTTGGTGAACACCTAAGGGTTACTGGGAGAGTGGTGAGCCTGGACTCAACTGCACAGACATTCCATGCCTTCTTCCCATACCTTGCCCAGTGGATCTCTTCACCTGGCTATTCCTGAGTTATATCCTTTTTTAATAAATTGATAAACCTGTAAGCACACAGGTTTTCCTGAGTTCTGTGAGACACCCGTGCAAATTAATCAAACCTACGGAGGGGGGATCACTGGGACTTCCAATTTGTAGCCCATGGGTCAGAAGCACAGGTAACAACCCGAGCTTTCAACTGGCATTTAAAGTGAAGGGCAGTCTTGTGAGACTGAGTCTTTTATGTGTGGAATGTGAGTCTATCTCTGGGTAAATAGTGTCAGAATTGAGGTGAATTTTTGGACACCCTAGTG